TGCAATTATATTTAGAGACCTTAAACCAACTTGTAAGGAAGACATTGAAGATTTTTTAGTGCTAACGAATGGTATTACAAGATTATTTTTAGTATTAAATAATAAAATAAATTATTTTTGTAAATAGGTCAAGCAATATGCATGTTTTTCTTATATAAATTGTTAATATCAAGTACTCTTAAGGGGGCTGGAGCGTAATCAATTCTAAGGGGTAAAAATTAGGCATTTTATATTTCAAGTTAAATGGGTCTTGTGAATGTGTTGAAAGTAAATGAACATGAGTGTGTAATTCATAGTACCGATCACGTGTATTGGCGCGTCATAATACGTCTGTCATTTTTCCTACGCGCCTGCACATGTCAGTATGTCACCATATTTTATTACTTTATAAAATTACAAACATTTTTTTTCAAAAAATACTTCCAGTGACTTCAATCACTACGCTCAGTAGGATGTTCGGATTTAAATTTTGAAAGCATATTTGAATTCTCCTCTAAATTTACTATGCTTTGATTGTCGTACATTTTTCATATTCTGTATCAATATATTTCAATTTTAATTATGAATAATATTATAATCTATTTTTACTCTTTTTGTTACTAAATTTCTAAGTAAAAATAAATAAATCAAAAAAGTAAAATTGTCAGAGCATAGATAATTTAGCGACGAATTCAAATCTGCTTTCAAAATTAATATCAGAACATTATAATATTGGGCGTAGTGATTGAAGTCGTGAGCTATGTTTTCGACCCGAAAATTATTCACCCTCCAGCCCCCTTAACATTTTAAATAATTCACAAGAAGGGAAAGTTTTCTGTTTATTTAAGATGATTTTATTACATTCTTTTGTCTAATTGACATAATTTATTAATTGAAAAACACTTATCTATTATTAACATATTATAAGCTTTACATTTATTTTAAGTTGTAGCCCAGAGTCAGGTACCTATAGTACCTACTATAATGGCTGTGTCATCACTCATCAGCGTATGAGTAAATCTTACCGTTGATATTGAGATTACTACGATATCGATATTCAAGTGGGTCACTGTATAATGGAAGCTTTTAAATTTGAATTCAATGATACAATATCATTGTATAAGAAAAATGATTCAGAGCGAAGACGGTATGTCAGTCTAGGTTTAAGACAAATTAAATACATAACTATGGTATTAAAAAAAACATTGACCTATAATGAATTCCAAATTAATCATATCACAATATCCATTAGGCACTTATAACGCGTTATACACCAACAACAAATCATGATACTATCATAGATATATAGTAGTATACTTTAGAAGTTTCAAGTAGCCACGAATGATATTATACAACCACAACAAAATAACTAAGATAGTTATTCTAGGTTTTTTATTATGTAATTTCGTCCAAATTTGAATTTAAAATAAACTGTGCTTATGTATTTTTTAGATTGTTTGATAACAGAATTAACTATATACGTGGAATCTTGTTTTAAACTTTCAATCCTTAGACATAAAAGTTAAACATTTTATATATTTTTAACTAAAAAATAATTATTCAATTTTAAATTTGATAAATTTTGTCAAAATTCGTTCTTTAAATGCTTATAAAAAAAATTGGGCCTGCGTATTTTTAATATTTTTCAACTGCTATTGTAACAATATATCAGGATCCTTGTATTAAATTTTCACACTTTTTGGCCCAACAGATAAAACTATATTGATATTCATAGAATAAAAAAATAAAAAAATTGAAATATGAAATTGCCCGTTAACAGCTCAAAACAAGTCAAAATATTTTGAAAATTTAATCAAGTATAGTATCAAAAAAAATATTTTCGTTTTATATACCTAGGTATTACAATTTTAAAAATTGGTCTTTAAAATAATATTTTATGAAAGTATAATGCTTCTAAGAATTTTTAAAATTTCATTAAATACACAGATGACACAATACCTAAAATGCATAATATCTACCTGGCTGAAATTTAACTTCACAATATAGTTATAGATATGTTAAATCTGAAATTATTGAACTAAATAAAAGTTAATAGGTAGGTAAGTATTCTGAATACATTTAAAAGTATTCTAAATAAGACTGGTTGTGGGAACTGGGAGACGAAAGTTATAATTGCCTGTTAGTATAGGAAATAAATATTATTATTTAATAATATTATTTACTTCCCACGATCATAACTCCTCCAGTAAAAATCGACAAGCAGTAAGTATCGCCTGCAGTTAGTATAAACAATTTTTACTCCCGATAATTTATTACAACTCCCACAGTAGAAATCGCACCAGTGATTAAATACACCAGTTAGTATGGGAAATATTAACTCCCGATAATTATTACTCCAACAGTAAGAATCGCCAGGGAGTAAAAATCGCCTGTTAGTATAGGAAATATTTACTCCCGATAATTATTACTCCCCCAGTAAAAATCTCCATGGAGTAAAAATCGCCTGTTACAAAGTTAATACTTCATATTTCATTAATTTAAATTCAAATTTCCATACAAACTTTTAAATTTCTTAACAGTACTCGTATACTCGTTTAGGTACAACAAATATCAAAAAAAAGTTAATATATAAGACAAAAACCATTTTATCAAATACTTTTTTTTTCTTGCTTTACTTGTAGCCAACTCTCTTAGTACCTACTTCATTTAAGTCTAATGATTTTAACAAATTATTCTCAGAATATAAAATCCTTTGTACGTCTAAGTTTTCTTGCTTTTGACTGTTTATATACTTAGTTTTTACTCTAGTTAATTTAGAAAATGCTCTCTCCATACATAAATAACTGTATTAACTATTGATAATATTGTTGATATCAATGAAAATATTAAATAACTGTAAAATGCGTATTTTCTACCATAGTGCTTTTGTAGGTACCTATTTACTATTTAGTTGTTGTTGTCGATAAAATAAAATGGTTTTTAAAATGTAGAAAAACTTTTCTTTCAAATCATTAAAAAATGTGTATCAGCTTAACATTTTTTGGGCCCCTTTCATTGGGCGAATGTAAGTTCCCACACGAAATATAGCAGTTAAAAATCACACCCGGGTATGCATACGTAAGTTCCCACACGAAAAAAAATTACACCGAGTACAAACTTCCTTCCCACTTTATTCAGACTTAGGACTAACAACTTAAATGTAGTTGGTGTGGTTGATATTTGTTTGTTTTTGTGTTGCATAAAAAAGCCCAATCAATGTTTTAATTGAATCAAGTCCAAATGTATAATACAAATTAATAATATAATGTGCAGGTATAATGTATATTATTTGTATAGGTATAAAATAATAATAATTATAATAATTAATAGTTATAATAATAGTAATAGAAAATATTAAATTTTATTTGGCTTATTGCGAAAGCTCAAACACCTTCACATAGTCATACTCACTGTGTAATTATTTTTAAGTTATAATCTGATATTTTGTTATTGATATAGTTCCCCCCCTAGTATTTTGGCCATTGCTATTTCTGATACAAGTCTTACTACAAACGCTTTCGAAAGTACACATAATATGTGGACCATACCTACACATTATATTATTCTTTTTTATTATATATTTGGACCAAATACGTTTAAGTTGTCAGTCCTAAGTCTGAATAAATTGTCGTGTGGAAAGTTACGTAAGGATGTATTTCTTCCCTGAGGGAACTTACATATGTACCCACTTACCTGCTATGTTTCGTGTAAAAAGTAAAAGTGCTTAGATTTTCTTCAACAGTAGCTTTTCTGATTGGAAAGTAAATCTAGTTGGTACTTTGGGGGTCAAAAAGTCAAATTTCCCAATAGTTTTCACGAGCGCAGGGAAAAACAACATAAAAATTAAGGAAAAACGAGAATTTTTACGCAAAATCGGTTTTCTAAAAAATCGATTTTGGTTTTTAGTTTTACTCTTAAACAAATGACCGTAGGTACATGCAATTTTGACCGAATGTTTATATTAGCATTTTCTATACAGGATAACATTTTCAAAATGTTTTGATTTATTTTGAACTGTTTAGGCACATTTTCATTTTATTTTCATTTTATTTTTTTTTCTAAAAATATCAATTAAATTTTATTTGTTAGTTAAAAAAGCTTAAACATTTAATACAAGGCTGCTACTATATTGTTACAATGGTATTTGAAAAATATTAAAAACCCTTGGTCACAGTTTTTTTTATAAGCATTTAAAGTTCAAAAATTGACAAAATATGGAAAAATCACGAAAATAAGCAAATTATTTTGAGTTAAGAATTCGTAAAAATTTTTCTTTTTAAATCTAAGGTTTTAAAATGTAATACAAGATTCCTTATAAGATTATCTACCTTTATCAAAAAAAAAAAATGTCTATAAGAAAGTCGAATTAAATTTTTATGAGGGTTTGAAATTCAAATTTTTAACGATTTTAGTTTTTTGTTGTAATTTAAAAATATTATTCGGGGATATATGAAACTAAAAAATCAAAAAATCAAAATATTATGGCCTATCCATACAATCTACCATAGTATAATGAATAAGAAGTATTCTCTATGATAAGACTGCGCATATTTTTTTTTTTATTACAATTGATATGTATATAATTATTATTAAAACCTAGACTGGCTAGACTGACATACCGTCTCCGCTCAGAATCGTTTTCCTCATACAATGATATTATACCATTGAATTCAAATTTAATACCATCCATGGTGTACGGTGTACCGTCATTTGCGCATGGTAAATTAAGCGCACGTTTATTGAGCGTGGTAATTATAGAGCACGACAATTAAGCGCATATGACATCTTGGCGATCGTCAAATCAGCGCGCACTACATTTTAGCGTGCGACAATTCAGCGCAATTTAAAAATATCTAATTGAAAGAATTTCCGTGTTATCGATACAGCAGCAGAAGTTATTATCTATTGGTGTCTAGATAATCGAGATAGTCTGATATAGGCATATAGGTAGGTAACTAGTATAAAATAATTTTGTGGTTAGTATACGTAAAGTATTTCGGCTTTCAACATTCAACAACATAATGTCTGTACTACAATATATAACTAGTCAAAGGGGAAAAAAATTATTAGTATACAAAAATTATATTCATAGACAGGACAGACGAGATGAAAACAAAATAATTTGGAGGTGCAATGGAAATCAAAAGTGCCCAGGACGGGTCCATGTATCAGAAAGTAAGTATTAATAGTACACACCAGTTTTGGTAAATAAGAATACTTTTTAAACGAGAACATACTTGTAATATTATGTAGTATTGTAAATACGTTTAAATGTCTTGTCACAAATTTATTTAAAACAATCATAAAAAGTTATAAATTATATTAAAAATTATACAATTATACAATTATAAAAATACTAAGTCTTAAAAATAAAAAGTATTCAGAACACGTACAAATTAATTGTTAAGTTATTTATATTTAATTTTAAACTATATATATAATTTTAGATGATATTGTATTGAAATATGTAGACCATAGTCATTTATCAGACGTTGCTAAAATTCAAGCAAAGAAAACAGTCGAAGAAATGAAAACTCTTGCTAAAGAAAACAGTTTAACAACTCATGCCATTATTGGAGAAGGCTCTTCACAGGTTATAATAATAATAATAATAATTATAATTATAATAATACAATAAATAAAATATTATAAAATATAAATAGGGCTCGGATGTTTATGCACTTAAAACTACTGTAATAGTGTAATATGCATGCGTTAATGCACTAAAAAATTACGAAATATACAATTATTTTTTATTACCTAGTTATAATTACCTAATGGATATTGTAATATGATTAATTTGGAATTTATTCTTTTAGAAAATGAATTTTATAGAAAAAATGAAGAGCTGTTGTCGCCACTAATATTTTACTTCGAATGTACTTGGATTGGAAGTTTAGACAGGAGAGGAAAACGAAGATCTCCCTTATTTGCAATTGATCTTTGGAATTGCTTTAATCGTTTGAAAAACGATCTCCCAAGAACCAAGAATAATATTGAAGGTTGGCATAATGGGTTTTCTGCTCTTTTAACGTCTTCACATCCTACTATATGGACATTTATTAATTGTTTAAAAAAAGAAGAGAGTATTAATAAGATGACAACCGAACAGCTTATTGCTGGAGATGTACCACCAAAAAAATCAAAGTACAAAGATACAGCAAAAAAATTTTTTACATCTATGCGAAGATTTCGAAAACCGACAACTCAATGATTACTTACAAGGAATAGCTCACAATTTTAATTTAAACAAGTGATTTATTTTAACGTGTGTTTAGCAATAATATTTGTCTCAATTTGATTATATAACTTTCTACGATATGCAATTCTTGTGATAAAAAATATTGCGCTAAATTGTCATGGAACCTCCATCCATTATACAGAGACCCACTTGTAACCTACTGTACAGCAGAGCACCTTTTTTTTTTTTTAGTGCCCCTTACACGGTGGTACGAAGGTACCATGAAAATGCCAAGTCACTATAACTACCTATCATAGTTTTGGGGCTCTATAGTATCGCTCCGATCAGAATCCGCTCTACGTTGATTGGTCAATCAGTCAGGACACGCTCGGTTATAATATAATAAATATAATATGCCGTTCATGCGAAATTTTTGTTCAAAACAAATTTTCCACTAAAATTATAGCAAAATTAAATCCGGCGTTTTTGAATAAACGCCCTGGATGTATTATAATTGCAGTATAATTGAGCAGCATTGTATAGAAAGTAGAAACCATTGTTGATCCCGACTAGTCACACAATACGTCCATGCCACACCGCAGCTTCCCTAGGATTACTAATGCGTCTATGAGTACCTATAGAATGCACAACTATAGTCACTTATAATACAGTGAGTTCCGCTTAATGTGATCACTGGTTTATAGAATCAACCATTTATCGGAACCAAAAATGAAAATATCTAACCACATATTATATTGAAAAAAATATACTTTATGGAATCAACTGGTTAATAGAATCCAAATGACCTGAACCAATGTGATCACATTAAGCGAAACTCACTGTATTATTATCTACAGATTTCTGGTATAGCTACCTAGTGATAGTTCATACGCGGTTCTGTAGCGTGTTATTTAAAACTTACAATTTATCTTAAATTGTCATATGGATAGAGGCGATAGAGCCATAGATGGTACGATAGATATTAGATAATGTGCATGGAAAACCCGAGAAAAACCTCGGTAAAATAATCGCTTAAAGCGCTTTATGATAGTTTCAGTACGACAGTAGGTACCTACATCTTATTATAACACAATAGTCCATGACATATTATAAATACTAACTATTATAAGTGTTATCGAGTGCACCATATAGTTGGTTATTTCATATAGAAGCCGGTGTGTAAATATATGCTCATTTTGTTTTTATGTACACAACTGCAATGGGCAAGTATATCCGATATTATTCATCATGTCTTAGATGATCTGATGATACCGTGTCAATATTTAAGTTCGTGACGATGCCAATCCGAACGTCGTGGTGATCGGTCGAACGGATGTTTGGGGGGGGGGGGGGGTAGATAAGCTATATGTGACCCACTTGTACGATTCCCGCTAAATATAAATTTAATTAATGGCCTTAAAAAATGAACTTTACCCCCAAAAATGACCTTAAAAATACCATATTAATTTATTGATGATTTTTTTTTTTAATTGGGGGGGAGGGGTATTATTTAACACAATATTTATCCCTATTAAAATTACGAATATGAAATAAAACATACGAACTACGACCGTGATGTAACACGAAATCACTAATTATTTGTTATTTATCTGATAACGGGTGACATTTTGAACAAATATGCATTAAAACCCACAAAAATGACCCAATAATTCTAAAAATAAAAAAACCTCAAAATATGTAAAAAAAATGCAAAATAAAATTTTTAGCTTTGAAGCACTCGCTACATGAAACGATAATTATGTACTTGGAAAGCATTGTCTAAGATCAACCAAAAAAAATGCATTTTGCATTGAAATCCGCGCCCTATTTATTACCGAATTTATTAAACGAATAAAAAATAATAATACTATAATATTAATTCAACTTACAGGATAAATTAAATAATCTATACTATAAAAGCAAGTTCAGATTTTGTGTAACGGGTTGGCTCCGGAACGGCTTGACCGATTTGGCTGAATCTTTTTTTGTTTTTTTCGTAATTGTCCGGACAAGGTTCTTATGAAAGAAAATTTCAGGAAATTCTCCAGAAAAGTGAGAAATATGGAAGTCAAAAATACAACAGTAGCGTCATCCGTACAGGAAAAAAATAACCTAAATAATAACATATTTTGGTTTACCTTTGTTATGATTGCTATTGGTTATGATTGTTGTAGTTTTAGTTGTTAATTTTGAAGAATTTTACTAAAATAAAAAAAGGAAATCAAACCTTGGCCAGTCCACAAATGGTGTTAAGAGGAAACGCTTATCTAGGACCAATATAGGTAGTTGAAGATGAAATTAATAATATGTCCGCTGTATGAGAATTAAGTAAAAATAAAAAAAATTGGTATAACTTTGATACTTTAGAGTTAAAGTATACACTTACGTACAAACGGCTGTAATATGACATAAGTACCAATGGTGCAAAAATTTAAAAATGTCAATCTTATAAAAAATTATCAATAAATATAATAGAAATTAATAAATAATAATTTTAATAAATCGGTTGATTTTTTTGATCTCATGAAAAAATGTCAATAATAAATTGATTAAATATAATATATATAGTTCTAAACGTAATATCTATTGAGCATGGGAGGATAGCACACAGCACATAGGTACCTATAAGATTTTTGCGCCTTTGAACGATACGATTTTGGCGCTTTCGTACTATACAACTTTTTTTTTCTTATCTCATTTTGGTGCTTATGTCCTCCACCAGTACGAAGAGCACGGTGTCCGCGATCTACCACAGGTATATTTCCCACCTGATAATATACTGCTGAGAATCTAACGGGATAACGCCGGTCAAGATTGCTATACATAAAAATATAATATAATTTACACTTAAAAAGATATTGCTTCCACATCATATTACACCCGAAAGGAGTTGAGCGATCAGAATTTTTTTTCCAGGTAACGGAAAAGTTAAGATAAGTTTTTAACAGTTTTACACTATTCTGCATACAGTTCAATTAGTCTTCATATAAAAAAAAAACGTTGCAAGATAGATGGACAGGATTTGTGGATCCACCAAACAGATCCACAATTTGCAGACAACTATCCACTTGGGCGAAGCAAGCGGGTGGCAGCTAGTAACAATATAAAATATAGCCAAACTGACAAATCGTCTCCGCTCAGAATCGTTTTTCTTATACAATGATATTGTGCGGTCTGGGGGGGTACAATAATAATACGCTCTCCCGGACACCAACTTAGGGTCTTTAAATCACTAACACCTAAGTCCTAGAAATATGGAGAACAAGCTGGGTGTAAATATAAAAGTGTGACCAGTACCATATTTATGCAAGGACAAATGGGACAATTGCACTGGGCCCACCGACTTCAGGCAAACAAAATATTAATTGTATACTTTTTTATCATACTATAGAAAAACAAAATAGATTTGGATTTTACTTGGATATTATCATATTTTGGTGGGTTATAAAGTAAAATTAATTTTCCCTGAAAACGACGACTTTGACGACAACAAAATCTAATTGCCTTTATTATCGTCGTAATATTACTATTGACGTTATTGTCTTGCGTTGTTACGTGGTATAGCTACCTATGTCGGTCGTATTTATTGTATATCTATTCGTCATTTGTTTATTGTTTTTAATAATTTAGAATGTCAAAAAAATACTTAATTGGTTCAATGAAGAGAAAATTGAAGGATAGATGACATGAATAAAATAAACTACCTACACGGTAGTTTAGATAAAGTTACGTTTATAACTTACTCTAAACTATGGTTTATCTACTATATATGGCGCACAATCGAAATTTTTGTGAATGTTGATTAGCTGAAATCAAATTTTACTTACAACATTCAATTTAAAAACATTTACTTTGATATATTATAAGTGTAATAATCAAGAATACCAAATTTTATAATACTTATTTTTTTTCAAAAAAATAATTTTGCTTTTTAATTTGTATACTTATGTACTTGAATTAAACATTAAATATATACGCATTAAAAAATTGTAAAGTATTCTTATATATTAAAATATAATCAAATTATTAACAATACAATTTTGCTGTATGATCTAACTACCCATGTGAATGTAACGAATTTAAAAATACAATATGCATTCATTTAATTTTGGCATTGAAGAAAGTATAGAGATGGACAATTTGGGGGCCCAAAATTGAAAATTGTACAGGGCCCATAAATTGGTAAATCAGGCTCTGGATGTAATAGCTCGAAGAGTAGTGGTCGGGATCGCCTAGCAATACTGTCGGCTATGTAGTGCGTGTTGTGTAGTTATGTGTATTTGTGTATGAATATTTGTGTGTGTGTATACAAAAATAATAAAAAATGGTAACACGGTTTCTGGTATGTAAGTTGCTGTATAATACACGGATTTAAATAACACACAATGACAATACAGTAAGATGATAATTCCCGGTGTCGCAGGATTTTAATACCCTCAAATGTTTTTACCCCCGGTAAAAATATACTAGGATATTATTACCCCCCCGGTAAAATTAATTGACAGGGGGGTAAAAATATACTAGGATATTTTTACCCCCCCGGTAAAATTAATCGACAGGGGGGTAAAAATATCCTAGGATATATTTACCCCCCCGGTAAAATTAATCGACAGGGGGGTAAAAATATACTAGGATATTATTACCCCCCCGGTAAAATTAATCGACAGGGGGGTAAAAATATACTAGGATATTATTACCCCCCCGGTAAAATTAATCGACAGGGGGGTAAAAATATACTAGGATATATTTACCCCCCCGGTAAAATTAATCGACAGGGGGGTAAAAATATACTAGGATATTATTACCCCCCCGGTAAAAATGTCATAGTATATAATTAACGATCTGTTTAAAATATACTAGAATACATTTACCTCCCATAGAATTTTTATATTAGAATATTTTTACCCCCTCGGTGTAAATGTGTTTTTAAGGGGGGTAAAAATATTCTAGCATATAATCAACGATCCGTTTGTTGTTCAAAAATAGTTTGTCATAATTTTTAACATTCATAATTTTAAACAGATCGTTAATTATATGCTATGATATTATTTACCCCCCTGTAAAATTAATTGACAGGGGGGTAAAAATATACTAGGATAATTTTACGATTTACATATGATATTATTACACAGTATACTTGAAATTAATATAAGCATACGTAGATTTTAACCACCAAGTTAGGTTATACATAGGTAGGTACATTTTTAAATTATCACAACTGAAATATGTGTTAATTTTCGTAATAGTTATCATAATATTATTTGTAATATAAGTTATATCGTATATTCAGGTATTAGGTAAAGGGACTATATTAATTATTAAAATTTAACTGTATATCAATTGGACTTATAATTTTATTCCTTTATTTAAAAACAGAAGGTAGGTAAAAAATACAATTAAAATATTATAAAGTAAATAATAAAATAACATAAATATAATCACCGAGGAACTTATTGGTTTAACTACCTATGGATCACAATTTTTATCATATATTTATTTTTTAAATAAATTGTATATAAAACAATTTTTTTAATCGAATTATATTTAAATAGGTATTTATTTAATAATTGGTGGATTAATATCTGTCACAACTGAGTAATGGTTTCTATGTACGTGACACATGTATAAAATGTTCAATTACCTTAACTCCGTCTTTGTAGGTACCATTCTTACCGAATAACTGTCAACATTTACGGTAATTTGTATTCAACAAAAATTTGGTTTTAGGGGGGTATAAATGTCCTAGCTTATACTTACCGGCTAGTTAAGTATATCCACTAGGATATTATATTTATACATACCAGGTCAGAGTTCAATTTATTTTACGATATATTATAATTTATTTCTATATAATATGATATATCAATCTACAAGTCAAATATTTTGAAAATTATATACCTAATGAAAAGCAAATAGAGGTGGGAACATTTTAAATTGTAAACTATTGTCATAGGTCAGTGAAGCAGTATGTGCTGAGGCAGCAATAAGATATTACTATATTACACCGCCGTACGCGCAGGCGCGGGTAGTCCCGTTGTCGCTGAGTGATTCGGCGGCGACGTAGGTACGACGCGACGGTTGTACGTGTGAAACGTCGATTGTAGTACGGGCTAGGCAATCCGAATTCGCCAAGTGTTTTATTTATGTTTATTTTATAAAGTGTTTCCGACCTAAAAACCCTAGTTGAGTATTATTTCAAAGTCTTCTTCGTTCTTACCTTTAATATCGGAACAGCTAGTGCTCAGACCCACACACCTATCTCAATACTCAATGCGAGGTTTATTACAAACTGAACAGTGCTCCGGTTGTGGCGTCCTATAATAGTCATTTCAATTTAGGAAACGGACGAAGAACTGTCAAAACGCATACCATCGTACGCCTCAAAGGTTAACAGTGCTAATCTGAATTTATTCTAGGAACAGTCATTAGCCTAGAGCTGCAGTGGCGTGGCGTGGGGGGTATTAAAAAGATGTAAGCAGTGAAATTTTTTTTTCAAAAGTGATTAGAATATAGGTACTATACCTAAATACCTAATTATAAATTATGTATAAAAAAATGTTATCCTTTTAAAATTTTTAATATTTTTAAAAATATACTAGTTGTACAAATCAAATTCGAGAAAATAAAGAAATTGAAGTATAAATACTTCAAAAGTCTATTATAGGCGAATGACAGTGACAGTGTACGTAAAAACGATTACAGTCTACAACGCGTCGGGCTACGTACTGGTCGTTCCTTGTTTCTCGCGTAAGCAAAATCAAATGTGCTTACAAACGCTAGTTAAATACGCGACCCCCACTATGGCATTATAGACTTTTCGAAAACAACAGTAAGCAATTTCAGAATGTGTTACACTTACACTGTATATCGTATTATGATTATGCAGTTAACACAATACAGAATGGATTAAAAATAGACCTACAATCGATGATTTTCTTAAAATAGTTGGTAATCAGTAGACAGCGTACGACACAAATAAACAATAACAAAAACCACTACCAGATATAACTTAAATATTTTATAAATAAAATTAAAATTTTAAAAATCATTTGTTATGTACCTATTAGTCGTGATTGATCAAATTTATTTTTTCTTTCATTTAAACTTTAAAGTGTAAGCAGTACTTACAGTGCTTACATGCACGCTACGCCCCTGGCCTAGAGCGTATACCAGGGTAAGGTATTAAGTCGGTTTACCGCGTATTATCCGATACGGGTGATACCACTCGTTCAATTTTAAATTTCCCGCCCTAATTGGATGCTAGTTTCGGAAACCATAACGAAAAATCGCCACATGGCGCGTTAGTATCGAGGGACATTTGTTGTGGAACTGAGAATGCATCGACTGATATCAATATAGGCAAAGAAAATTCGACATTTTGATTATTGGTACATTTTCATAATTATTAATATTGTGATTATTACGATATTAATTATTGTTAGACGTAATTGGTAGGTTCGTGCGTAATACGCTCACATGACTCGTGACTTAAAATATATTCCTATAGTATTTACTTGTTGTTACAGAGTTCATATTATACTTCATATTTTGGATTCTGATTTGAGAGATTTAGATCTTTATGGGATGCTTGGAATCAAACAGTCGGCTACTGAAAAAGTGGTAAGTCAATTTCTAATCACTCGCGACGTATTACTATTCATATTTGCTATTTCAATCAGATGAAAACGGCATATCAGAAGAAAGCACTACGATGCCCTCCAGATAAAAATCCCGATAATCCCAATGCGGTTATCCAAAATATTAACTATTCTTGCAGACACAGCAGCTCGAGTAAAATTTGTCGATTTAGCATTGTAAATTGTATTTATTTGTAAATGTTTTTTTCTTGTTTTTAGTTGGATTATGACAAGTCGGTAAATCTGCTGCAAAATTGCTCAAAAAAAGGACGCGATTCGGGTAAAGCGAAATTAATAAATGATATTTTAAAAAGAACTAAACATGAAAGATCAGTACAACGAGATACAAATAAAAGCGATTTCAAAGTAGGTAATTTTTTTTTTTTTAATTTTGTTTTTAAATCAATTGTTTTGTGTAGAAAGAAATGATGCTTTTAAGAAAAGAAAGTGACCTCAGGCACCGAGAAACTGAAAAAGAAAAAAACGGTTCATTAATATTAAAATTAAAGTGGAAGAAAAACGGTGTCTATAATAAAGCTAACTTAACATCATTGTTTTCTAAGGTAATTTATAAACATTATATTTTAAACATATGTCTAATACATTATACAATATTATAGTACGGTGAACTATCATTTGTTATGGTTCTGAAAAATTCTGTGGCTTTTGTGATGTACAAATCTAAGACTACTGCCGTAAGTGATTTTAAATTAAATTAAGGTAACCTGCTAAACCTTTACAAGAAAATAGTAATTCAAACAATATAATTAGAAGAACAGAAGAACACTAGAAGAATTTGATTTGCATAGTTTATTATTAATATTTGTGGTAATTATGTCCATAATATGTAAATATGTATAAATAATTTTTTACTTTGCCTTAATTGACATTACCAAGTTATGAATGTATACCTGAAAAAAAAACCCCAAAATATTATAGAAATGATTTCTGAAAAAAATATCGAACACAAGAGCAAATAAATGTGAAATTGTGAATGTACGACTATAGAAATGTGGGTAAATATGATTATTTATACATATTATTAGATTACTTATTATTTTATGATCCGTTCAATTTCTGTTCAATTATTTATATTATATTAAAATATAATTTTTAACTTAAAAACAGCACGAGAAGTAATTTATATAAGATGCTACTGTATTGTATGTTGATTGATATGTTACAATTTTTATTTAATATTTTACTTAAATATTAAGCACTTATAATAGATTACTTATAGTTATGGTACCTATTGAATATTTGATGCTTTATAATCATTTAAAACCAAATTGATATCCAAAAACTGTAATGATTGATTATGAAAAACCTACTATTAATGCACTTAAACAGAATTTGATGAAACGGACATGATGAAATTTTTTTAGAGGTCGAATGGTCCCTAGCGTGTTATATTTTTCTTATATTTGATACTATAATTTCAAAATCATGATTATAATTATATGTATATTATTTTAATGTACATATTACATTGATGCAAAATTGTGTTATCATAGTACTTACTACTTTGTATATATGTTATTTACCTACTTTATGATGATATCTAATAATATAATTTAATATTTAATAAGAATGTTTGATTGACATTTAAAATACCTATAACAATGTAAATATGTTTATATATAATGTAATGGTAGTTCGTATTATGAAGTAAATAATACATATGTGTGAATTAGTACTTTGAACATAATGTTAGTGGGTATTTTTAATAATATAACTTCCTAACCTACCGTATTTGGTATCATGACAAATATTATTTGAAAATGTATTGTGAATTAAATATTGAAATATGTTAACATGTGTTTATCATTAAATTATCAGAAATACGTTGTAGTATTTGCGAAATTGTTGAAATTGTTGAAGTAGTCGCTACTTATACGTTTAAACGTGCTCACTGGGTTGTCTATAAAAATAGTTGGATTGGATGTATTTTATAGTTGCTATACGGATAGCTATACGATTTGTCAGATTTGCTTGTAAGTTGTAAAGTTTTATATTTAAATTTTTTATATTAGTAAATAGTAACTCTTTAAAAAAAATTAAATTTATTGTCAATAAGGTATTGAGGTGGTGGTGGTGTCTATCACCAGTTTACTGATTTAGCGTATACCCTGTAAAATTACTAGAGATACGCAAGTATACGCTCGTATACCCACGTATACCTTCAAAAAATTTAAGTAAAATAAAATAGTAATCCAAAAAAATATTTTTATCTTTATTTTCAACGATGGAAAATTATCAAATTTTTTTATGATAATCGACTAATAACCATCATATCAATATCAAATTCATATATTTACAATTATAATCACGGCTATGGATACAATTATTTAAAATTATCAACGTTATGGACACAGTCCACAGATATTTTTATAATATTATCTGTAGTTATGGTTGACTTGAGGGACTGCGGATTATAAGAATGATATTGTATTTATTGGATCGACAGCGGCTTCAAAAACAAAACAGTTATTCACAGATGCCTTATCACAATCAGTTAAATTTGGTAGAAAACAGCGACATTGATAAGGATTTGCAGATTCTATAGTCAGTCAATTATTTTATATTTATGAAATTATGTAATATATTACTATTTAGAATATATTCTTAGTAAAAAAGATTTTATTTAATTACCAATTGTCTTATAATAATAATCGTTAGAAAAATGTATTAGATCAATTTTTTTTTACTGCTTACATGGCAAACAGAACGAAATTATGTAACAAAAAGTAAGTTCTAACTCAGTGCTTGGAATGAACTCGTTCAAAGGAATCCCTTCCTTTGATTTCGTTCCATTTTTAGGAACTTATCGGGAATGTAGTTCCTTTTTCTTGTTTAGGAACGTACTGAAATTTCGTTCACTTTTTAGAGGAACATGAACGATTTTTTTCGTTCCTTTCTTCGTTCATTTATTTTTAAATAAAAGTAATTAAATCATTTTTAAAACTAAAAGGAAAAAAATGTTTAGCTTCTATTAAAATTTAGTAACTAATATGAAGAGCTATAAAAATAAACCTGTATACGATATTATTGATAATGTTTACAAAATATAAATTCTGTATTTCTGTAGCAGAGGTTTATTTATACAGCTAATTAATTATATAAGTTAAAACTATTACTAAATATCTAAATAACAATGTGTTATTTTTAAAATTTTAAAATTAAAACAATTATAGTACAAACATGTACGATGTACCTATGTATTTTTATTTTATTTTAAGTCACATTAAAAAGGAACGAGGAAAGGAACTAATTCCTATCTTCAAGGCAGGAATGGTAAAGGATTTAGTTCCTTTTTTAAAGGAACTTTCTAAGCACTGTAACTCCATCTCATCCTGATGCAATATGTCTAAAATCCTTTTTCTGGGGGGGGGGGGGGCTAGATAAATAAATCGACATATAAAGGCGCGGTGGTATACCGCACGACCCACCATAAGTTAATTTTATGTTTGTTTAGAAAAAATTTTTTTTGAGCTTATGTGCTAAGCGTATACCCTAGAAAAAAATTACCAATACATCACTGTCAATACCTACATTTTTATTTGGTAATTTCAAATATTTTTTCCACAGCTACATCATTAACGGGCACATATGTTCCATCTTTATGATTAATCGTACCTAATCTTATTTTATTTTTTTTAATGTTATAAAAAAGCCTCGGCAGCGTGGCTATTGGCTGACATTTGATAATAATTGTTTACATAATATTAGTTATTACAATAATCTTTGTTTTTACATATTATTATTCATTAGTTATTTACAATTAATGTTCAATTTATATTTCTTTTATGAAACTTAGTGTCTGTTTGATGGTTGACAAGTTAGTTTTATTTTTATAATCTTTGATTTTCAAAAAAAATCTCCTGCATAACACTTGTGTGAATGGCAAAATTAATATACATTTGTAAAGTAAGAATAAGTTACAAACAAATTTAATTAACTATCACCATTTGCATGAAATA